CTGATCTTCTATTCCCCCATTTTTTCCTAGATCTTCTAGATGTTGTCTCTTTGTTATTTCCCTCCTCCTCCTTCCTTCTTCACTCAAATACACTGTTCTCTACATCTTGTAGCAACATGCCCAAATCTTTGGCAATTAAAACATCTCATTGGTCCCGGTATAAACTCTCTTACGATATAACTCATTACCCCCAACATCACTCTTTTTGGAATTTCCTTCCCTATGAATTCTATCACTACTGTTTCAGTGTCCTTCCTAACTTTAGCCTATAAGCATTCACTACTTTTCCTCCCTTTAGATTACCTTTAAATTCTTCCATGCCTATGTTAAGAGGAACACCGAAAACAATCCCTTTTTGACCCCTAGCTTTACTTCTAGTTCCAACTCTGTTTGTGCTGACAACTTTAATCCCTCCTATTTCCTTTACTTTGAGAGCTTTATTGGCCTGTTCTTCATTATTACATCCAACTAGCAAATTTCCATCAGAGAGTACTTTAGCAAACCCAACATTTCCTATTTCCCTATTTATGATCTTTGTCAGTTTTAACGGATTAATTTTGCTTACCCCTAACTGCTCCCCAAATCTCACAATGCACTTAATGCTATCCCCACTCTTTTCGTCAGATTCATCAATATCACTCCTTTTCTTCCGTTTTTCTCCTCGACTATTTCTAACTTCCCTCCACCGGTTCCCTAAATTTCCACCATTCTCCTCTTCACTTCCTACATCCAAAAAAAAAAATAGGGAGGTGGCCAGAAGAGACCCTCAGATTTCTAACCCACACTCAATAACCACGACACACACACACACTTGAGAAAACAAAGCAAAAGTGTTAAGCACAGCCCTCCATGTGGACACACCAGTACAGGACACCATGGCCAACCCCTCCCACTTTAAAGGGGTCATATGATGCGATTTAAATTTTTCCTTTCTCTTTGGAGTGTTACAAGCTCTTGGTGCATAAATAGATCTGTAAAGTTGCAAAGACTAAAGTCTCAAATCCAAAAAGATATTCTTTATAAAAGTTAAGAGTCAACCACGCCTACCTAAAACGGCTCGTTCTAACACGCCCCCACATGCCTACGTCACTATGTACTTTGTTTGGCCTTCCAAAAGAGGACGATATCTGCTTCGTCATGCCTGGAGCTGATCCGTGCTGGTCGCTGAGGAAATACATCAACTTTGCGCTGTGGATCGACGGATCGGCTTTCACCGTGGACGAAGCAGAGTCCAGCCCGGAGTCGTCACATGTGCCGCAAGCCTGCCGGACGCCCCTTCGTCGAATCCGCTGGCCGCGCCGTTCTCAAGCCCACCGCCTCTGCTCACTCAAGCCGGCCTCCGCATACTCTAGGCCGCGGTGTGTGACGCTTTTTCATTGTGAGACCTTTGTTTGGTCTTCCAAAAGAGGACACGACTAGAAATCAGTGGTTAAGTTGTATTTACAACACTGTTCCAGAACACTTCAACCCAAATATTCAGATGTGTAGCACATTTTATGGAGGACTGTTTCCTGATCCTGGTAGAGTAGACTACAATGCCAGCTGTTCTGACTCACAGACTGTAAGTACGTTTTTTATATTTAAAGAATTTGCCACTGATGATTCAAACGCATGTTTTTTGGGCAGTGTAGAGTTGGGCTTGTTGTTTGTAATCTCGCCGATCACAAATGCAGACATGGTTTTATGTTACGCTCCGGCCGGACACGGCATCACAGTATAGTAAGGGTGTAACATTTTCATCACACGCTTGAGGTATTCGGCCAATTACAACGCACTGGATAGCTGGCCAATCAGAGCACACCTCACTTTTCAGACCGATGAGCTTTGTAAAAATCAACGCGTTTCAGAAAGGCGGGGCATAGAGGAGAAACAATAATGTACAGTATGTGGAAAATAATGTGTTTTTTAACCTTAAACAGTATAAACCCATTTCATTACACCAAATACACCAAATAATGTTCTTTTTAGAAGCATCATATGACCCCTTTAAATGCATAGTGCTTGAGCCTGTTATTTCTGCTAACAGCTATATTGTTTGTTTGTTTGTTTGTTTGTTTATTTTAAATATATAAATGTCTCTTGCTTTATGCCATCATACTGGTGATAACATGTATTTGTCTTTTATTTAGCTTTAGACCTGGTTGGTGGCAGTGAAAGAGGAGAGTCGAGATCTGAATGAAATGGAAGAGAAAGATCAGTATGAGAAACATCATGATTCCATAACTGGAGGAAAATCACAGACTGAAAAGTCTTCCTCTCAAAAAGGAGCTCAGAAAACAGACTACAAGTCAATTCATCTGCCAACCGTGTGGAAAGACTTTTAATAAAAAAGAAAACCTTAAAGTCCACATGAGAATTCACACCGGAGAGAAGCCTTACACCTGTCCTCATTGTGGAAAGAGCTTCCCACGAAAAGAAAGTCTTAAGAGACACATAAGAGTTCACACTGGAGAGAAGCCTTATACCTGCCTTCACTGTGGAATGAGCTTCACATATAAAGGAACCCTTTACTCCCACTTGAGAATTCACACCGGATAGAGGCCTTTCACATATCTTTAGTGTGAGAAGAGTTTCACACATCAGAGAGATCTGAAAAATCACCTTTTCATTCACTCTTCACTCAGGAAGAGTGTACCTGTGGGTCCTTGAAAAAGCATTATATTTCAGCAATCTAAAAACAATAAAAAGACAGAGAATACACCTTAAAAGGCAAACGTGTTTTTGATTGGCTAGAAATTGTCATGTCCACTAATTTACCTTCTAACAGTGCTACCAAATTTGGCTCCATAAATGTTTCGTTATTCCATATGTCTTTACAGAACTGTATATGCTTAATAAGTGCTGTTTGTACGTGTAAAGTATGCACACTTACCTATTAATTACCTATTAATTCATTCATTCACTTACCACTTACCAGCTCTCAGTGATATGTGTCAGGTCCCCGCTATGATAGCAGCAACATTCACAAATGTTTACGGAACAAGCGGGAACCCAGTGTGCTTTTAGCTTTCTCTTTCTGTTTTATCACATGATAGAAAGTCTAAGGCCTTCTCAAGCCGTACGGCTGACTTATCTAATCTGCGGCCTATTATGCATCAAACTAAGATTGCTGTAAAGACACAAAGCAATGCCATCAAGTTAGCATTTTTAAACATTCGCTCACTAAAAAAATGTATCATTTCTGATCAATGACTTAATAACCACAAACAACCTGGATTTTATGTTTCTAAATGAAACATGGCTAGAAGACAGCTGCAGTGGAACGGTCCTCAATGAAACAGCCCCTCCTAACTTCACTTTCATGAGTGTCTGCAGGACTGTTAGGAGAGGTGGAGGTGTAGCTGCTCTATTTAAAGATGTCTATCAATGCAAGCAAGTGTCATTTGGTCAGTACTTGTCTTTTGAATATCTAGGTATTGTGCTAAAGGTCGAGGTCTAAACATTTCATTCATTGTTATTAAGGACGTAGCACTATCTGATCACTTCTGTATTTTCTTTGATATATTGATCTCTGCTACCACTGAATCTAGATCTGTCTCTGTCAGAAAGAGATGCATTAATGAGAACACCAGTGTGCTATTTATGAAGGCTATATCTTTAACACCAAGCATTTCTGCAGACTCTGTTGATCTTCTGGATTCCTTTAATTCAAAAGTTAAGAATGTTATTGATGATATTGCTCCTGTAAAAGTCAGCAAGAAGACTGGCAGACAAAAATCACCTTGGAGAAAATCAACAGCACGTGCACATTTGGGCGGCATTATGCTAATATTTCCACATAGTGAGGTAGATATGTGGGGGCGTGTTAGAACGAGCCGTTTTAGGGGGGCGTGGCAGAGTCTTAACTTTGATAAAGAATATCTCTTTGGTTTTGAGACTTTAGTCTTTGCAACTTCAGGGATCTTATCTATGCACAATCAGCTTGTAACACTCCAAAGAGAAAGGAAAACTTGAAATCGCATCATATGACCCTTTTAAGATAATAAATGATATTCGCTTAAATTCTGATTCTGGCCAAGTATAAGTGCTGGTACTACTAGATCTCAGTGCTGCGTTTGACACTGTCGATCATAACATACTTCTAGAGAGACTGGAAAACTGGGTTAATGGTCTCCTCACTGGCCTTCCCAAGAAGACCATTAGACAGCTGCAGCTCATCCAGAACGCTGCTGCCAGAATTCTGACTAGAACCAGAAAATCTGAGCATATCACACCAGTCCTCAGGTCCTTACACTGGCTTCCAGTTATATTTAGGATTGATTTTAAAGTACTTTTACTAATTTATAAATCACCCAATGGCCTAGGACCTAAATACATAGCAGACATGTTCACTGAATATAAACCTAACAGACCACTCAGATCATTAGGATCGAGTCAGTTAGAAATACCAAGGGTTCACACAAAACAAGGGGAATGTGCTTTTAGTTATTATGCCGCCCGCAGTTGGAATCAGCTTCCAGAAGAGATCAGATGTGCTAAAACATTAGTCACATTTAAATGCACACTCAAAACTCATCTGTTTAGCTGTGCATTTATTGAATGAGCACTGTGCGGTGTCCGAACTGATTGCTAGTTAGAGAGCTCAAAATTAAGAGCTTCAAGCCATGTTCAGTGTCCAGTTTGAACAAAGAAATAAAGTCACTGAATTGACTTGGGGACTTTAATGAACTTTAAAGGGGACTCCACCCTCGTTTTAGTTATGATATTGTGTCTCAGTCTACATCATCATCTCCAAACCTTATTCCTGAAACAAGGAGATTCTGGCCACATCTCGGATCAAGAGCCTTGCATCTGTGTCATCTTCACATTTACAGTGTCTCACAGGTAAGTAAAACATTGTTACTATTCTGCAGGTGAATATGACAGTGTTCCTCAGTCTTACAGGATCACCCCCTCATTGCTGATTTTGCAGAGACAAAATGGCCAGTTCTGGCCAGTTGACATCTGTTTGTAATGTACATGTTTAACAACCTAACAGCTGTCATTTAGAGAGTATCATTATGGATGTAAGTGATTTGTGGATTTCCAGCATGTACGTTAAAACGGAAGATAACGTAATGTTGTAATGGATCAGTGCTGGTTAGTAACTGATTAGCTGAGCTGAGTATTGGTCTTTCACTGATCTCTCTGATAATGAGTGCTATAGTTCTGCTGATTGGATTAGAGCTGCTGCTAGGTATTTTGTTCTCCAAACTTCACTAAAACACTAATGTAACATTACATACTTTTTAAGATTTACTACTAGAGTTTGATTTTCTAATAAACTGGTTATTACATCTTGTATTTATTAACGGATCTATTCACTCTTAATAAGGGAAGATGAGGAGTAACAGCTGAATATGTTGAAAGATTATACTGTACTTCAGTTCAGATACATTTACATTGTGACTGTGCCTCAGATGCAGTCAATCAAAACTGTTTCCCAAAGTGTGACCCAAATGGCCCATTAGGTCAGCATTCAATCAATGCATTATCCCTGTTGAAAAAACCAGCATATGCTGGTTAGGTATGTTTTGATGCTGGGATGCTGGTTTAAACTGGTCCAGCAAAGGACCAGCTTAAACCCGCAAAGGACCAGCTTAAACCCGCAAAGGACCAGCTTAAACCCGCAAAGGACCAGCTTAAACCCGCAAAGGACCAGCTTAAACCCGCAAAGGACCAGCTTAAACCCGCAAAGGACCAGCTTAAACCCGCAAAGGACCAGCTTAAACCCGCAAAGGACCAGCTTAAACCCGCAAAGGACCAGCTTAAACCCGCAAAGGACCAGCTTAAACCCGCAAAGGACCAGCTTAAACCCGCAAAGGACCAGCTTAAACCCGCAAAGGACCAGCTTAAACCCGCAAAGGACCAGCTTAAACCCGCAAAGGACCAGCTTAAACCCGCAAAGGACCAGCTTAAACCCGCAAAGGACCAGCTTAAACCCGCAAAGGACCAGCTTAAACCCGCAAAGGACCAGCTTAACCCAGCATCCCAGTGTCAAAACATACCTAACCAGCATATGCTGTTTTTTTCAACAGGGATGGGCTGTCCATGGGGTGTTATTGTATTGTGTGTAGCACATTTGTTATCAGGTGTGTGTGTGTGTGTGTGTGTGTGTGTGTGTGAGAGAGAGTGTGTACTGGTTTATATATCCTGGTGGGGACTTAAACCCGACTACACACAGACTCATGGGGACTTGTGTCACGGTGGGGACCTAAATTGTGGTCCCCACGGGTACAAAAGCTTATAAATCACACAGAATTAAGTTTTTTCTTAATTCTAAATTTTCTTTTAAATCTAAAAATGCAGAAAGTCTCCTGTGAGGGGTAGGTTTAGGGGTAGGGTTGGTGTAGGGCAATAGAATATACGGTCTGTACAGTAGAAAAACCATTACGCCTATGGAGAGTCCCCACAAGGATAGCTGACCAGACAGTGTGTGTGTGTGTGTGTAATGATATGATTTTAGCGAAAAATACTTTTATTGTGTTCTGGCGTTGTGACGTCATGACGCTGCGCCGCGCTCCTGCGTCTGTGATTCGGCTGAAGAAAGGTGTGTGGTTTTAATAGTGTAAAATGATTAAATCAACACGACTCGTTTCGAGAATTGAGCGTAAAAATAAAACGCTTTATTTGTAATGTAATATATTAGTCGTTCATTAATCATGCTGTGCTTTTAAAGCGCACCCACACATGAGTAACAGCAAAGGTGCGTCTCAACTCGCTCCTTTTATCGAGAATCCGTTTATTTAAACAGGAATTCAGTCACTGGCGAGCGGTGCTGGAGAAACGGAGCTTTTAGAATCTCCGAGTCAACTGAATCAATTGCTTCTCAAACGATTCACTGTTTTGAATCGCTCGAATCTGCTGCTTAAAACAAGACCAACACAAACGTGTTTATTGATAACTTTTACAAAAACAACTGCACATGTTCTCATGAAAGTGGGATCTTTTTCATATAATCTACAAATCCGTAAACACTACATACAAATGTATAATTTATTTATTTGAGTGCTAGTTTTGTTTTTTTTGTCAAGTCTATTAACTCTGACTCGCTCCCTTACTAGTGTACTGACTACTGGGAGCTGATTGAGACACACCCAGAGATTTAGTTTGCATTTATTTTTCATTTGGTTAATTATATTCATCTTAAACGGGACAAAGTGTCCAAACACACAGAAAAAACTCCTGGTGAAGCAACTGAGATCCTTGTGACACACTATTAAAAAGATGGAGTTTATTAAAGAGGAGAGTGAAGACATGAAGATTGAAGAAACATTCAGAGCCAAACATGAAGATACTGAGACACAAACAGGTTGGTTTTCATTCTCAAAGCTGAGCTCACTCATCTGACCATTATATGTGACCCTGGACTACAAAACCAGTCACACGGGTCAATTTTTTGAAATTGAGATGTATGCATCATCTGAAAGATTAATAAATAAGCTTTCCATTTATGTATGATTTGTTAGGAACAAAATCTGGAATCTGAAGGTGCAAAAAAATCACAATATTGAAAAAATGACCTTTTAAAGATGTCAAAATTAAGTTCTTAGCTATGCATATTACTAGTTTTGATCTAAGATAGATAGATAGATTCTTAATATCCTAATGATTTTTGGCATAAAAGAAAAATCAATCATTTTGACCCATACAATGTATTGTTGACTATTGCTACAAATATACCCCAGCGACTTATGACTGGATTTGTGGACCAGGGTCTCATTTATAAATTTCCAATTCTAAAGAATAACAGATATGTAAACATGATAGAAATAGGAAAAACAAAATAATTATTTTAAGTAACATTAAACTAGGGGTGTGCACAAATAGTTGGAACATTCGAATATTCGGTCTGTAATTGAAGAGTTAATTTGCAAAAAAAAAAAACGATAAATGGCACTTTAAAAAAAAATGAACTGAGTGCCGTGCATCATTTTCCACATAGCGCGATCTGAATCCTAAACACGTTTTGTCCAAAAAGCCGTTATTGTCCACTTTCAAGGCATCGCAAGTTCACGTTTTACTGCAGAAGCCGACGAGCGCCATTGTTGTTTGTGAACAGAAGCCGATTAGTCCATTTTAGCGAATCAGTGAGCTGTATTCAGGTCAGGTGACACGGCTGCCAGTCACTTTGAAAAGACGCGCTAGCTGACAGGAGTTTCGTAAAAGTTGACAAAGTGATTGAGGATGGATAATTTCGACGAACTTGATGAACCTGTGATGTCTTCTTCATGGCGGAAAAGGAAAATAAAAGCTGAAACTTTTTCACAGAATAGTAATATCTTTTGTAGTTGTTCAAACGTTAAAGGGGTCACATGATGCGATTTCAATTGTTCCTTTCTCTTTGGAGTGTTACAAGCTCTTGGTGCATAAAAAAGATCTGTAAAGTTGCGAAGACTAAAGTCTCAAATCCAAAGAGATATTCTTTATAAAAGTTAAGAGTCAGCCACGCCTTCCTAAAACGGCTCGTTCTAACACGCCCCCACATTGCGCTGTATTCAGGTCAGGTGACAAGGCTACTTTCACTTTGAAAAGACGTGCTAGCTAAGAGGAGTTTCGTCAAAGCTGACTAAAAGTGATTGAGGATGGATAATTTCGACGAACTTGATGAACCTGTGATGTCTTCTTCATGGCGGAAAAGGAAAATAAAAGCTGAAACTTTTTCACAGAATAGTAATATCTTTTGTAGTTGTTCAAACGTTAAAGGGGTCACATGATGCGATTTCAATTGTTCCTTTCTCTTTGGAGTGTTTTATGTTTATGCGGTGCGATGCAATGCAACGCAACACGTAAAAAGACAGTATAATAAGTCATTATAATCAGTAATTATGTCCCCACTGGAAGCAACAAATGCCTCGTTTGTAATGGGTTTTAATGTTTTTGTCTCGTCACGCCGGGACAGCATCACAGTATGGTGAGGGGCATAACATTTCTGTCACACGCTTGAGGTATTCGGCCAATCACAACGCACTGGATAGCCGGCCAATCACAGCACACCTCGCTTTTCAGACCAATGAGCTTTGTAAAAAATCGAGGCGTTTCAGAAAGGCGGGGCATAGAGGAGAAACAATAATGTACAGTATGTGGAAAATAATGTGTTTTTTTTACTTTAAACCGCATAAACACATTTCAATACACCAAATAATGTTCTTTTTAGCAGCATCATATGACCCCTTTAAGAATGTTGTGTACACATAAATGCATATTAAAATTTTAAATTAAGTGATTTTAGTGTTTTTTCATCTAGATGAATCGGCCGTAGCCTTAAAAAATGTCATGTGGTGCGACCATCTCATTGAAAATATTTGGTGGAATTTGAAGAAAGCAGGTACAATGTGAAAACCAACTATTTTCAGTGACCTGGAAGCTTTTTATGCAAGGAATGGGCTGAGATTGTAGTAGAGAGCTGACAGAAGCTTTTAAGCTTTTAATTTGAGGTTATAAATAAAATATTCCACGACAAATTTGACTTTGGGGGTTGAATAATTTTGTACATGAATGTTTAGAGCCAATTTTTTTTTCAATTCATCAAGTTTACATTCTCAGAATCACTCAAATGTGTATTAGGGTTGTTGACATGACATGGCATGGCATTTTCACTGTCACAAGATAAAAATTAAAATAATTACTATTGTCATATTTAAAATGCAGTAAATGGTTAAACATTTCTTTGTCCTACATGGATCTGTTGTAACACACAGGACGTGCAGCTTCTCCACCAGTACCTAGAAAAGAAATCAGTTGAAGCTTCTGAAAGCCTAAAAAATCACGAGTCTTCACAGACATATGCAGAACTTGCCAAAGTGGCACTTGCACAAGTAATAATATTCAACAGGTGTTGTGTAGGAGAAGTTTCAAAAATGACGCTCGAGTGCTTTAAGAAAAGAAACCAGACTGAGCTCCACAAGGACATAGCTCTCGGTCTCTCTCCATTTGAACAAAAAATGTCCAAGCATTTCAGCAGAGTAGAAATCATGGGCAAGAAAGGGAGAAAAGTTGTTATTTTGTTCAATCCTGAACTTGTCAGAACTATTAAACTTATTGTGGAGAAGAGAGATGCATGTGAAGTAGACGGGGAAAACCCCTTCCTATTTGGAAGACCAAAGTGCTCACCCACCAGCTTCTTCAGAGGACAGGACTGCATCAGGCTTTTTGCAAGTCAGTGTGGTGCGAAGAACCCAGAACATCTCAGGTCTACACAGCTCCGCAAGCAAGTGGCAACAATGTCCCAGATTCTCAGTCTTAAGGATAACGAGCTGGACCAACTTGCCAACTTTTTGGGCCATGACATTCGAGTCCATAGAAACTATTATCGGTTGCCAGATGCAACTATAGAGATTGCAAAAATCTCAAAGCTGCTACTAGCGTAAATGGCAAGTTTTCTGTGATCCCACCAGCCAGTTTTAACCTCAAAGTTTAAGTAAGAAATGCATTTAATTTCTTTTTGTTTTTCAATTTATAAAATAAAATCGGGATGGAGTTGACCCAGGAAGAGGCAGAAAGTTCCAATGGTATTTTTAAAATGAATTTTAATATATGTTTGTATTATATTTATACATATTCAGATTTAAGATGGTCAGAAATTGTTTGCATTGTAGAGAAGATGAATAGAGTATTGCTTTTTTTCCATAGGAAAAAGAAAAATGTCCCCAGATGAGGCTGAGAGCTCCACAGGTATGTTTAGGTGTGTGTGTATATATATTGCATGGGTCAAAACATGTCCAGCAATTATAACTGCTATTAGATCAGTACGTCCTTGGCATTTACCGAATTTGGTGATGGATGTTAATCAGAGCATCATTATTTTGTCGTTTGTCAGTCATTGTATTCCTGAGTCAAGTTTTAAGGCACTGTAAACAGCTGAACGAGTGTTACTAATTTCTTAGTCATTACGTAACCATGCAATGACTTTAGTAGTTAAGTGGAGAACCATATAGGCTACAAGAGAAGTCCAAATCCAATATAAAATACTTTTATGAATCAGTTATTTTTAGTGAATCACAAACAAGTATGAAATGATTGGAGCAGTCTCTCAATTAATTTGATTTACTTTCTTAATCATGTCAGACTAAGTTAATCAAGAACAGACTTGTTAATATGACAATGAGCAATTAAATATGGCCACATTATGAGTTTTAACAAAAAGTATAAAGATTGAATAATGTTAGCATATAATGGGCTTAAAGGGGTCATATGATGCGATTTCAGGTTTTCCTTTGTCTTTGGAGTGCTGTGGAAAGCTGTTTGTGCATAGATAAGATCCCTGAAGTTGCTAAGACTAAAGTCTCAAACCCAAAGAGATATTCTTCATAAAAGTTAAGACTAGTCCACGCCTTTCTAAAACGCCTAGTTTAAACACGCCCCCACATGTCTACGTCACTGTGTGGGAAGATTTGCATATCACCTCCCAAATTTATATGCAAAGAAAGAAGGTGTAACTTTGATTCTCGCTGTAGTATTGTTGCCGCCACCGCCATGTCGTGGAGACGCTGTGTATTTCGTAGCAAAATCGAAACGACTTTGTTTGGCCTTCCAAAAGAGGACACAACTAGAAATCAGTGGTTCCAGAAGAGTTCAACCCAAATATTCGAGTGTGTGCAGCGAATTTTACGAAGGACTGTTTCCTGAATCTCGCAGAGTAGCCGTTCCAACTTTACAAAGACAGTCTGGGACTTCTAACTCCCAGCCTGTAAGTATGTTTTCATATTTAAAGATTTTGCCACTGACTATTCAAACGTGAGTTTTGATCAGTGTAGAGTAGCTCTTGTTGTTTGTCATTTCTCCGATCACAAATGCAGACATGGTTTTATGTTTACGCGGTGCGATGCAACGCAACACGTAAAAAGACAGTATAAGTCATTATAATCCGTAATTATGTCCCCACTGAATGCAACAAATGTCTAGTTTATAATGGGTTTTATTGTTTTTGTCTCGTCGCTCCGGGACACGGCAGCACAATATGGTAAGGGGCGTAACATTTTAGTCACACGCTTGAGGTATTCGGCCAATCACAACGCACTTTATAGATGGGCAATCAGAGCACACCGTGCTTTTCAGACCGATGAGCTTTGTAAAAAATGTACGCGTTTCAGAAAGGCGGGGCATAGAGGAGCAACAATAATGTACAGTATGTGGGGAAAAAATTGTTTTTTGAACCTTAAACCGTGTAAACATTGCATTACACCAAATACACAAAATAATATTATTTTTAGGTAGATACATAAATGTAGTTTCATTTGTCTAGGTACAAGGTTTTTTCTATATTACACCCTGTTTTGTCCCACTTCTCAAGAATCAGTGATATATATAAGATAATTTTGACCCAGTTGGTTGGGTTTCTGGTTGATCCAAATTGTTTTATTATTTATTATTGTTTAAAAATGACTATATTGCTGAAAATGAGAAATCTCACGCAGAATTACTAGAGGCAACAGCAATAACCAAAAGGTGGACATTTATTAATAAGCAAGAACAGCCATAGACAAATATTTTTGGTTTTATTTTATTTAAAGAGCACAATTAAAACTAAACAAGATTGACCAGTCTGCTGTATGATAACAACAACAGCTAATAAAAAAATTAAACCAACATCGCAGAAAGGAAAGAGACTGACAAATAATTAAGCAAGTAAAACAACAGGAAAATTTTTCCATCACAGGAAAAAATGAGAGCCACTTTGTTAGATCAATCTGTTGAGCCAAAAGCTAACTCTACTATATATTATCTAAAATTTCTTTTAAAAGAGCCCAATGTAGGTGAAGTCTACGATATTAAGGCAAACTATTCCAAAGCTTTGGGGCCACCACTGAACATGCCTGGTCACCACTCAGTTTTAATCTTGTCCTAGGGATGTCTAAAATCATCTGGTTAAATAATCTTAGATTCCTTTAATCTAAATAAAAATATAAGACGGATTCAATTTATTTGGATGAATACAGTATAGTTTACAATATTACATACATTGAAACTTGTGGTAACACTTTATTTTAAGGTCTCCTTGTTACACGTTACATGTACTTACTATTATAAAAACAATTAATTATGCATAATTACATGCTAGTAACCCTTAGCCAAAACCTAATCATATATACATATCATTTTTTATTTCTTGACATTCAAGAGTCAAATGTCGCCCATGATGACCGCATTCATTGTGTTTCATCTGCTCGCTCTGAGGCATAAGTAATTTATTATGTATGAAAATTATTATATTCTCCTACTTTTCTTAGTCATTTATAGTGCCAGTTTATCAGGAAGTGACGATTTTGTTCTCTTTGACTTGTTAGATGGAAACGATGCTTGTTTGCAAATGTTTTAAGCGATATTCCAGTTTTGCGCATAAGTTATTTTTCGCAACTTTGGATAGAAACCCAGCTAGTGTGTCTCTAAAATCTGAGCCGGTGATGGGCTGCTGTTTGCAGGGGAACTGCGAACCTCAGACCACTGGCTCGCGTTAGCTGAAAGGTTCCGTGACTGACTTCATAACCTGTCCATAAACAATCAGTACTGAGATTAGAGAACATATTTTAACATTAAAATACATTTAAATAAGTATTATAACAAATACAATCAGTTTGTAATGCAAGGCTAAAAACGACCGTTGCTGACACATTCAGTGCATAGTGAAGACTTTATAGATAAAATAAAACATATGCAAACTTTTATTTAACTTAAGAAGGGCACCAGTGAGGCAGCAATAAGAACCGCTCTCTCCTGAAGAGGATGCAGAAAGCCCACGCTCTGACTGTAACCCAACAGCTGGGGTGAAGAGAGGCATGTATAGTTTCAGCTGTCAGTGAATATATTTATTTATTTTGCAGAGGCCAAATCAAGGAGACTTGTGAAAAGGTCATGGAGCCCAGATGAAGTGAATGCAGTCATGAAACATTTCAAAGCCCATATTTCAAAAGGACACCTCGTAACAACGGCAGAGTGTAAGCAGTGCAAGGCTGCAGAGGACCCTGTTCTAAGAGAAAGAACAGTACAGAATATAAGGGATTTCGTAAGGAACCGAGGTTTGCAGTTAAAGAAATGTTCTTAGATTAGTTCGTTTTGTTGACCCAGTGAAGTTCAAAAGAAAAGATGTAAAAGAAAAGAAAAATGTAAAAACTGTACCTCTAGGGGTACAACAGCTTGAGTTCTGGGTAATCTTGATAAGTTTTACAGTACATGACAACCATTTCTAGATCATTTGGACCAATGTAATGCTTACTCTGACCAGCAATGTAGTGCTTACTATTTGTCTTCCCCCTATTGAGTGCTTCTTTGTTTTTCCACTGAAACTGCTTTTATGCCCTGACTGCTCTTTTAAATAATTTTATTATAGTTATTATTTTATGTATTTTGTTCTTTTATTGTTGTTTTGTTTGTTGTTTATTGTGCAATGTAAAACTAATAAAAAAAACTACAAAAGCAGTTTAATCAGTCAAAGAGCAGCCAGTGATTCCCTCTCTTCTTTTATTGTTAGATTAACATTAATGAGACAGATGGCCTATTAAGTCCTACTGTACTGCACGGATATAATGTTACACATCAGGGGCCGGTTGCACCAGCTAGACGTAAAAACGCTGGGTGTAAGCCCTCCGCTGGGCTTTGCAACGTCCTGCTTTACGATAAATATTTACACCTGTTGCACCAACTGAAACTACGATCAGGCGCAACTACGCCCGGCGTAGACAATGCGCATCCACGCCGACACATTGTCCCTCAGTATAGATATAGCTGAGACGACGTTCACGCCGCAATGGCTACAACTACTAATATAGAACTGAATTGCTCAAGACATAATATAAGTGAAATCACCACGCTATGATTTCATTGAGTAAACATTTCCTAACAAGTCCACGTTTTTATATCTGAAGTCTCCCTGCACACTCCCATGACAGATTTCATCAAAGTCAAGTCAAATATAATAAATGTAATACAATGCTTCTCCAGAGTTATTTTTTTTATAGCCGACTATCAAGTTTATGTACAATGAATGTCTTTCCTGAGGTAATTGTGACTTTATGTGACATTTTATGTTTTGCTGTCTTTCTGTGGCTGAAAAAACTAGTTTATGGTTTGTATTTTGTGATAAAATTCACAGAATTTGAAAGCTGATCATTTATTTCTGATTAAAAGTAACAAAGCACAAAACTTATCGCGATTATTGGATGGCAGGCACGCTACAAATAATTAATTGAATTAAAGACGTGAAATATTTTCAAGCACACTGTCCTTCCAAGCAAGGTGTCAAATGGTTCAGTTTCTTTTAATAATCCCAGTTCATATGTAATATTTTACTGCATAATTATTACATGCTTGACAGAAATATATTTTGTATTCAATGTCGACAGTGTGGTAGGATAGCACAGAGCTTCGCAATTGA